TTATTAGACGAGATTTTACGAAAAAATTGTTCGTAGGAGAGAACAAATCTTTTTTCAATACTTACACTCCTTATTATATTAGTTAATAATCCTAGTGATTGTATTGATATGCTTATTCTGATAGGAAATAAGATATTCAAATAAATTAAATGATTTTTCGTCGAATGACTATTCATCTATTGTATTTTCATGCAAATATGGAGAAAGAAAACTCTATGAAAAGATGGTGGTTCAATTCGATGTTATTTAAGAAGTAGTTCGAACACAGATGTCGGCTAAGTAAATTAATGGGCAGTCTTGGTCCTATTGAAAATGCCAGTGAAAGTAAAGATCCGAATAGAAATGATATGGATAAAAACATTCAGGGTTGGGGTGGTCATGACAATTACAGTAATGTTGATCTTTTTTTTGGCGTCAAGGACATTCGGAATTTTTTCTCTGATGATACTTTTTTAGTGAAAGATAGTAATGGGGACAGTTATTCTATATATTTTGATATTGAAAATCATATTTTTGAGATTGCCAATGATCATCCTTTTTGTAGTGAACTAGAAAGTTCCTTTTATCGGAATTCTAGTGATCTGAATAATGGATCTAAGAGTAAGAATCCCGACCACGATCGTTACATGGATGATACTCAGTATACTTGGAATAATCACATTAATAGTTGCATTGACAGTTATCTTCAGTCCCAAATCTGTATTGAGAATTACATTGTAAGTGGTAATGACAATTCCAGTAACAATAATTCCACTACAATTACATTTCTAGTTCCATTTGTAGTAATGGTGAAAATAGTAGTGAAAACGAGGATATCACAACGAGTGATCAAACTATACCAGAAAGTTTCACTCATATGGGTGTAACTCAACAATACAAGAATAGTAGTAGAAAAAAAAATTAACGCTTCAATTCACAAATAAGAAAATTAAAAAAAAAACAATTTCAATATGCTTTATCGAATTTAAGTTTATTTACTTGAATCAAAATAAATAAATTCAATAAAAAACCATAAATATTAAAATTATAAAATAAAAATAGAAAACAAAATGTCAAATTTACAAAATTACACAAATGGTCATTAAGGTTTGTAGTATATTGTAAATTTGGTACAAGGGCACAGTTTCATGTAATTTTGCAAATTATAGTGACCAGTGGCATGACGTTTTCTTAAAAGTCCTCAAAATGAAATATTTTACAAACTACAGGGACCATTTCTGAAATTTTGTTCGAAATTAAAACCATAAAAATAAAGTACTATATCTCTTGAAAACCATATGTACCAATTATGAAAATTTGTCTAAAGAAATTGAATTAAGGACTGAACAACAGATTATAGCAAAAGACATGGACCATTCATGTAATTTACAGTTAATATGATTCGATCGTAACAGATGAAAGCGGGGAAGTTGGAGTAAGCGAACGAAGAACTCGTGAAGGAAACCAGGGAATTGAAGGTCGATTTATGCATCCACATCTACTATCGAGGAGAAATCAACTCGGTGCGACATTTGTCAAGGTATGTTGATTATATTTGTAAAGTCTGTTTTTGTTTAAGTTGTGTTAAATTAATGTTGGTAAGATGATTACTTTTGGGATGTAAGCTAAATCAAGACATAAGTTGAGTTGAGATTGTGTTTGGCGACCTAATTTTGTCACTTCTGGGTTAAATTGGGTAATGGTGATTAAAGTGAATTAGATAATGTAAATTAATGAAATTGAGAATATTTTATCAACCAAATGATAGCTGGAACAAGGTTTCGATCAAAAAGGGAACATGTTAAGACTTCATTATATATTAACATTACATATTGATGATGGATTTTTAGTAGAATGATCAACAAATACTTGTTTCAGTCTATTTTGTTCATTGACTTTGGAAAGGGATTTAGGGGTACTTGTTGAGTATTTTATAAACTAATATGTAATTAATATTGAAGTTACATCTTACTTATGCATCCTGATTACTAGACAATATTGATAACTATTGATTATTAGAATTATAACTTAACGGACGTTAGTCCACGTTAGTCTTATGTTAAGTTTGTTGTTAAGACACTGTTAGCTGTTAATCTGTTAGATTGTTAGCTATTAGTTGGGTTTATGTTAGAAGATAGTGCGTAGTTTAATCCTTGTATATAAACTCTGTATAGCCTTTCGTTAATGGTATTTGAAAGTTTTACTCAATTTTCAAACACTAAAATGGTATCAGAGAAATTTCCGCATCTACAATGAATATTATTCGTTCATAGATCTTTCATCTCGTCGATCTTTCATCTCGTTTTCTTTTTCAATTCGTATTTCATCATCTGATTTTATTCAATCGGATTCAGTTTTGTTTCATTTCGATTACTCTGTTAATCGAAATTTTCAATTCCTTTCTCATTGAATTCTAGGTCTCCATTGTTTGATCTTCATCATGAGTGAAGGCACAAATCAACGCAATATTCAAGAGAATTCAGATGATCCTTATTATATCCACCATTCAGACAATCCAGGAACCATTCTTGTTTCTCAAATTCTTACGGGAGACAATTATAGTTCTTGGAGTCGTGCTATGACCATAGCTTTATCAGTGAAAAACAAGTTAGATTTCATTGATGGAACGATTAATCAGCCAGCTACAATAGATCTTGTCCGATACAAATCCTGGTCTCGTAACAACAACATTATTATCTCCTGGATCCTCAATTCGATTTCGAAAGAAATTGCAGCATCAGTGATCTATCTCAAGACTGCAAAGGATATTTGGAAAGAACTTAAAGATCGTTTTCAGCAAAGTAATGGCCCTAGAATTTTCCAAATCAAACGTGATATCATGAATGTTAAATGTTACTCAAGGAGGAGATACTGTAAGTACATACTTCACCAAATTAAAGGTATTATGGGAAGAATTGGCAAATTACAACATGCATTGTACTTGTGGTTTATGCACCTGTGGTGGAGCCAAAGAAACAGAGCAGGCTATGAATTTTCTTATGGGTCTGAATGATGAGTTCTCACAAATTCGTGGTCAGATCTTATTAATGGACCCTATTCCAAGTGTTAATCGCATTTTTTCTCTTATCATTCAAGAAGAGCGACAGAGGTCTGTAAGTGTTTCTCAAATGTCTCAATCTGCTGTTGCTTTTAATGTTCGAGAGACAAATGGATCAAAATCTGTTAACAATAATCAATATAAGAATTTCAAAAAGAATCAAGTTTATTGCACTCATTGCAAGAAATCGGGTCATACACAAGAAAAATGTTACAGATTGCATGGATTTCCACCTGGTTTCAAGTTCACAAATGGTAACAACAATTCAAGAGCTAATTCTGTTTCTACTGAACAAGTGAACAATTCTTCTTTCTCTGGTTTTAATGATGTTGTAACCGGGCTAAGTGATGAGCAGTGCAAGCAATTTATTGCTATGTTTTCAGGGAAATTAGCTTCTTCCAATGCAGTTACTACTCAAGAATTTAAAGCATGTAACCATTATATTCTGAATACTGCATCTGACAATTATAAGTCTAATGTTTGGATCATAGACTCTGGAGCTACTAGACACATTTGCAATGATGAAAAACTTTTTATTGATACTAAAAAGGTTTTTAATACTCGTGTCAAATTACCAAATCAAATGCTTATTCAAGTGCATTTAGTGGGTAATTTACAACTGAATGATCATCTTATCCTCAAAAATGTTCTTTATGTTCCTCAATTTGAGTTAAATCTGATTTCTGTTACTTCTCTAACTGAGGACAAAAATGTCATGGTTGCTCTTTATCATGATTATGCCCTTATACAGCAGATGAACAACAAGATGATGATTGGCAAGGGTAGTGTGAAGGAAGGTCTATATATGCTTGATCAAGAGTTACAAATTCGTTCTATCAATACTATTTCTCTACAACAATGGCATCAAAGGTTTGGGCACCCTTCAAATAAGAAACTCATGCAGATTAGTAATGAGTTGTCATTGAATAAAAAGGCAGATAAACATGTTTGTATGATCTGTCCATTAGCAAAACAAAAGAGATCTCCTTTTGTATGTAGAAACAATGTTGCTAGTAAATCTTTCAATCTTATTCACTGTGATATCCGGGGACCCTATCATGTTAATTCATTTTCAAGGGCATCGATATTTTGTCACCATAGTTGATGATCATTCAAGATTCACATGGATATATTTGATTAAACATAAATCAGAGGTTCAACATGTTATACCAAAGTTCTTTTCAATGGTTTTGAATCAATTTGGAGCTCATATCAAAGTGTTTCGTTCTGATAATACACAGGAGTTAAAGTTTGTTGATTTTTTCAATGAAAAAGGTGTGCTTCATCAATTTTCAAATGTTCAAACACCTCAACAAAATTCAGTAGTAGAACGTAAACATCAACATTTGCTTAATGTTGCACGTGCTTTATTCTTTCAATCCAAGATTCCTGTTGATTATTGGACAGAATGCTTATCATGTGCTACTTATTTGATTAATAGAACACCTTCAAAAGTTCTTGATCATCTTTCTCCTTTTGAAGTGCTTTATCATGTGAAACCAGATTATTCTATTCTACGCTCTTTTGGATGTCTTGTGTTTGCATCCACATTACAAGCTGCAAGAAATAAGTTTGAACCACGTGCCACTGCTTGTGTTTTTCTTGGTTACCCTATTGGTGTCAAAGGTTACAAATTACTTGATTTGGAAACAAAAAGGGTATTTTTGTCAAGAGATGTAATCTTCCATGACACAATTTTCCCTTATCAACATACTACTTTCAAAGATCAAATAAATCCTTTTGCTCAACATGTTATTCCAATTGTTTCAGAAAATGTTTTTGATTCTGTTATTGACAATTCATTTCAACCAAATTCACCTTCTTCACATGTTTCACCTGAGCCACATTCACCTCAATATGATTCTGCAAATTCTCATAATTCTCAGCCTGAACCTGTACCTGAACAGATTTTACCAAATAGACCTGTTCGTAATCGTGTTCCTCCAGCCTATTTACAAGATTATCATTGTCATCTTTTACAAGGTAGACCTTTGCCTAAACATAATACTCGCTATCCTTTATCAGATGTCATTTCATATGACAAACTTTCTTCAACACATAGAGTTTATACCTTGTCTGTATCATCTCAGATTGAACCAAAATCTTATTCTGAAGCCATAAAGTCAATTGAATGGCAAAATGCTATTAATGATGAACTCACTGCTTTGGAAGTTAATGATACATGGAAAGTAGTTCCTTTGCCTCATGACAGAAAACCATTGGGTTGTAGGTAGGTATTCAAAATTAAACGAAAATCGGATGGTTCAATTGAGCGATATAAGGCAAGACTAGTTGCCAAAGGATTCAATCAGCTTGAAGGTGTTGACTTTCTTGATACATATTCACTAGTAGCCAAACTTGTCACTGTCAAGATGTTACTAGCCATAGCTGCACAACAATCATGGCCATTGATACAATTAGATGTAAATAACGCGTTTCTAAATGGTGATTTGGAAGAGGATGTTTATATGGATATTCCAAAAGGCTACAAAGTTGATCACAAAAATTCCCATTCTACCCCTCTTGTCTGCAAGCTAAATAAACCGTTGTATGGTCTTCGACAGGCTTCTCGCCAGTGGTATTCCAAGTTCTCATCTTTCTTAATTTCCAAAGGCTTTACACAGTCTAAAGCTGATTATTCTTTATTCTACAAAGGAAGTGGTTCCTCTTATGTGGTTTTGCTAGTATATGTGGATGATATTGTCATCACTGGAGCTTCAAGAGAAGGCATTAATGCTTTGAAACATAGTCTCAGTGAACAATTCAAGCTTAAAGACTTGGGAAATTTAAAAATGTTTTTGGGTCTTGAAGTGGCACGGTCAAAATCTGGTATTTCCATTTGTCAACGAAAATATGCTCTTGAACTCTTACAAGATACTGGCTTTTTTAGCATCAAAACCTACTTATTATCCAATGGATCCAAAATTAAAAAGCTCCAATTTTGTAGGTGACCCTGTTACTGATCCTTCCCAATATAGACGGTTAATTGGTCGTCTATTGTATCTCACTATCACACGCCCAGATATCTCTTATGTTGTGAATAGATTGAGTCAGTTTGTAACTACACCAAGACAACCACATTTACAAGCTGTTCATCATCTTTTGAGATACATTAAACATAATCTGAGTCAAGGATTATTTTTCTCTACAAGACCTTCGTTGCAGCTCAAAGCTTTTAGTGACTCGGATTGGGCAGGATGTGTTGACACTCGTAGATCAGTCACTGGATTTTGTGTTTTCTTAGGTGAATCTTTGATTTCGTGGAAATCTAAGAAACAGACTATTGTTTCTCGTTCATCCACTGAAGCAGAGTATCGAGCTGTTGCTGCTGTAACAAGTGAACTCATTTGGCTGCGACATTTACTTCATGATTTTGGATTCCCATCGTCCACTTCTTCTTTGATTTACTGTGACAATGATTCTGCAATCAAATTGGAAACCAATCCAACGTTTCACGAGCGCACAAAGCATATCGAGATCGATTGCCATTTCATACGTAATAAAATCATTGATAAAACTGTTCGTTTGATGCCTATTCGAACTCAATATCAGTTAACTGACATTTTAACTAAGCCATTGCCTAGATTCAAATTGCAGCCAATCGTATCCAAGATGGTCCTTCACAGCATTACGGTTCCATCTTGAGGGGGCATATTAGAATTATAACTTAACGGACGTTAGTCCACGTTAGTCTTATGTTAAGTTTGTTGTTAAGACACTGTTAGCTGTTAATCTGTTAGATTGTTAGCTATTAGTTGGGTTTATGTTAGAAGATAGTGCGTAGTTTAATCCTTGTATATAAACTATGTATAGCCTTTCGTTAATGGTAGTTGAAAGTTTTACTCAATTTTCAAACACTAAAATTGATAGAAAAAGAAAAGAATTTACAGAGATTGGGCAAGAAACAAAATGTTTATTTTGATGACTATAATTCAAGAATGATGTAATCTCTTCTCCAATCTCTCTATATGCAGTCACACGGGTAACTGTTTTGCTGTGTAACTAACCCATTAGCTACATGCTAACAACTTCGGTTGACTTTTCACTCCAGCTTTGACTTCTGTTTAACCTCTTTGACTATTTTGTTTTCTTTTCTTCTAGTATATCATATATGTCTATAGTACAGTATTGTTGAAAACAACCAACATATTGAATTGTGGAATACTATGCAAAGGATATATGGTATACTACTTCTATTTTAAGAAAAGACAATTGGGAATTGTTTATATTTATGGCAGGAGTGTAGTAAGGGTTATTTCTCGTATTGTGTTATATATGTTTGAAAGTGAACATGCTTATTGTTTTATTTTGACTTCATAGTTGTTGAATGAAAACTTGTGGTTGTAAAATGATTAGTTGTTGGGATTTAAGTGA